ACTCTAACAAGCTCACACACACACACACACACACACACACACACACACACACAAGCAGCTGCTGCACATCAACGCACACACTGACCCTGTTCTCTCCAAATTAAAGCCTCCAAATGACATTTAATTACTTAACGTTTATTTATTTATTTCTTAAATTAGTGTTTACAGGCTCAGAAAAATGGAAACAGTGAGTCATTATGTTTAACAAGACAGGGGTCATTTTGGAGGCACAACCACACACCCCTGTGTTTATGGACACACACACAAGCAAGAAGCAAACACTCAAAAACCCACTCGAGCCTTGAGGGGTTCTCTGACACAGTTTGTCCTTTCCAGCCTGATTACTCCAACTGCTGCAGATGTCCAGATACATTGGCTTAAACATGGACTGTGTGAATGTGGAAGAATAATATTAACTCACAATTTTCTCCTTCGTGCAGTTCATGTTCCTGACCTACATCCTCTTTCTGGCCTTCCTCGCCATCTTCGGCTTCACGGCCATCCCCGTTTTCCTCTTCTTCAACATGTGGAGCACCTGCGCTGCCATGAGGTCTCCTGATGCCAACATCACCGCGTCCGACTCCATCTGTGTGGACGTCAGGCAGTATGGTCAGTTGTCCCACACACAAACATCTGTCCCCTTGACTGAAACCACTGCTGTGAATATCTGCTATTTTTTAAATGTGCAATTATTTCTAAGATGTCGCACAGTTTGCTACATGTCTTTAAATTTAAGGAGAAATTCCTCTGATCAAGCATAGTGAGCTCAGAAACGCTGGCTGGCCTCGGCAGTCAAAGCTTTTTCAACTTTTGCACATAAAAGAGCTTCCCATACCTGCAGCCCGGACTCACCTGCAGGATCGCAGTCTATTAAACAATTTCCAAATGATTCATTTTTCTCCCCATAAACGTCACACGTTCAATTCCAGCAACTCTAAATGTCATTCTCTGCACAGAAAGAGGTCACAAACTACATTTAGATTATTGAAAGCCTGATTGGGTCTCTATGAAAATCCACCTTCCCGCAGCATTACGGCACAGTAACACTCTCATGTGATTGCATATCTGCTTATCTGTCCGATGGCCTAATGTACAGTATGTGACCCACATTTGAAAGACAGCTGGCCCACGTACAGAGCAGGACGAGGATCACATATGCTTCATTGGCAGTCGAACTGCTGCTCTGCATGAAATATTAACCCCAATTACTGGCAGACGTTAAATTATTCTCTGCAGCAACCTGATTCATCGAGGAAATCATTTTGAATCCATTTTTTGGGGAAAAAGTTCATTTTAAATAAAATACAAATGTCCCAAAAAGAAAATCCCTGCCTGTATAAAGAAGTGATACAAAATCACGACCTACATATTTTCCCCTGTGGGAGAGGCTCAGAGGCTCGGACAGCGGCAGCCCTGTTTCTTTTAATCTTTATCCAAGCCTAGTTCATAATGCCTTCAATCATAGAGTCAGTCTCGTGGGAGGAAAAAAAGCTGCTCGTCTCCGTGTGTGCGACCTGTCATCTTTCTGATCCCGCAGGTATTATTCCCTGGAACGCTTCCCCGGGAAAAGCTTGTGGAGCCACGCTTGGAGACATCTGTAACACGAGTGAGGTGAGAGGACACCGACCCTCTTCCTTTCTTCTCTCATCTTTTTTAATCTTTCCGTTCCTTCCCTCACTTGTTTCTCTCTCCGTTCACAGTTCTACTTGTCGTACCACCTGTACATCGTCGCTCTAGCCGGCGCCGGAGCCACCGTCATCGCACTGGTAAGCTCCCTCCTGATCTCCACTGATAAAGCGCTGCTCAAAATATGCAAGTTGCCATGGAGCGTGCATCTGTTGCCATAGCAACTCCGCCTCTCACATTTGCCAGCGTGTTGTCCAATGGGTTGAGATCTCACCCTGCAGCCTCAGAGTGAGCGGGTGTGCTCACACAGGGTCAGTGTTTCACTCGGCTGTGGAGGCGGATTTTTCCGTGTTCAGATAAATGGGAGATACTAAAAAAAGCGAGAAGCACCTCTCCAGATGTTGTGTAGGGTCAAAGTCTCGAAAGTGTTTTTACAGCCAACTTACTGTAGGAGGTGGATGGAGAATAGAGAAGAGTAGAGAGAGAGAGGGAAGCAACCGAGCGAAATAGAATCAGTATCCACGAGAGGCGGAAAATGCACTGCACTGGTTCGTACTGTATTTGTGAAGGCGTCGTCAATAGATCACAGAGACATGATTCTGACAATCAGTCCATATATGGAATGAGGAAACGGCATCAAAGTGCCTGAAGACGATAAACAACCCTCTCGTTTCTCTTCAGATCCACTACCTGATGATCCTGGCGGCCAACTGGGCCTATCTGAAGAGTGCCGTCTCCACGCACGAGTACCAGGACATCAAGACCAAGGACGACCAGGATCTGGAGGCCGAGGCGCGCTCCAAGGAGGGCCAGAACTCCTCCTCCTACTCATAAGGGCGAGAGGCTGCTCTCCAGCCGCCACCCATCTCCCCTCCACACCTCAACCCTCACCCCACAACACCCACCACCCCTCCGTCTGTTAAAACAAACCACCTCGGTCACGTTTGATAGTCCCCCAGACTGACGATGCTCCATCCTCTTCCCCTCCACGATGTTTATTGAGAGTGGTTGGAGCGTACCCGCACCGGAGGGGAAGAGAATAGAGGATCAGGAGAAGCGGCAGGCCCAGATGGAGGCAGATGTTTCCGAACGGGAGCACTCGCCCGCCGGGTCGGGCTCAGGTACAGTACATCAGTTCAGAAGCGTCTCCCCCCCCCCCGTGCTTTTAGGCGGCGGCTCGTGAACATGGCCCGGCTGTGACGGCCTCGCGCCCTGAGCCAGCACAGCCTCTCGACACAGCCTAAAAAAAACATTGTTCACTGTCTGCTTCAGCCAGAGAGAGGCCAGGCAGCGACCAACCTCCTCCATTTTTTTTTTGGTGTTTTATATGCATATATATATGAATATGAATATATTGTGCGAATGTGTATGAATGTTGTTGTTTTTTTTAATACTCTGAAAAGTATGCCAGATACTATGATAACCTTTCTTTTCTTCTTTTTTGTTTTTGCGCCCATAGGTTTTCTCTCCTTTACTTTTCTTCTCCATCTTTAACTTTCTATTGCTAATGCTTGATACATGTTGCACTATTGAAGAGACAAAAAAAAAGGAGAGTGAAAATCCCTTAAAAACACAAAGCAGCCCAGGCCCCCTCTCTCATAGAAATACCTAAAAAAATTATCATGTACATTTACATCGTTCAATCGGAGACCAGGTGTAGCTAACTTTTTTTTAATAAGGAAAAGTTTTTAGATGAGAACATTGGTACCTCTCTCACGTGTGAAAAACCTTCAAACACAAGACAACTAGCTGAAGGTCTGAAGGTTAAAACTTACAAATGAACATTATATATTATTTGTTTATTGTGTGAAAACAACAAGTTATGGTTTACAGGAGTATTTCTAGGCACGTGCAGCAAACTAGCTAAAGGCTATGCTATAAACTTGCATGCAACCACAGCTTGTAGTTTTTATTATTTGGTTTTACTTTAATTAGTAAAAACTATATATACTTTAATACAAATATTATTAAATCAGTAGTAGATGTTCTCAGATGTTTTCAGAGTAAATATCAATCTTCTCATCTAAATCTTTGCAAGCAAACAACATTATTTCCCCAAAATGTAAAACTATTCTTTAAAACTTAGTTTTTTTGCTACACTTATCACCAGCGGCAGCAAAAATGAAAAATAACTATTTTCCGACTTGTTTTTACAAACAAAAAGACACACACACACACACCTCAGGTATCAAACCAAATCTGATTTTAGCCCGTTGTGTTCTTTTCCATCACTTATCCTTTCTGGACTAGTTCGCTGTCGTGAATTCAAAATGATTCCCTCATTTTGTAAAATGTCTTCTTTTGCGAATGAAGTTCACCTGTAAATAGCCAAATCACAAAAAAAATCTGGATCTACACGTCTCCCAGAACGAGGAGAACACAATCAGTGTTTTGCCATGCTCTTCTATTATTATTACTATTATTATTTTTCCACAAATATATGTAATTGTACCGTTTGAGAAATGTGTTTAGCACTCAAATACTAGTTCTGCATTTGATATAATAATTGTAATGTAACATCTTCAATGATATGTCGTGAGAGGGATACAGTGCAGTCATGATATACGATATGATGGATTGAGGTGCTTGTGACGTATACATTTTTAAAATTATTAAAAAAATGGGAATTGATTTTTATCGGTTGATCAGTTTTAGGCAGCTGAGTTCTTCTTGTGATTCCGTAACAATGATTTTCATGGAACTTGTCCGTGATTATTTTTTGAGTTGGGAAACACGTCACTTTTTTATTCTTTCCTTTTCTTTTTTTCGATGTCATGCTTCTCATATGAGCCACAGAGACTGTTTTGGATGTTTACACTCTGCATAAAACAAGTCAGGAATTTTCATACATTGATTTTATAATCAAATATGGTTTAATAATCATAATTGATATTCCAAACGGAACGTCACCGGTTAGTTCACCCTTAAAAAACACTGAAGAAGACCAACTTTTGAACTTTGATGGGATGAAGCATGTCAGTATTGTCCATGTGTGCAGCTGTCTATTCTGTATAAAAAAGGACTATATTGCCATGTGTGTTGTTTGATAAATATACGTGCTTTGCCGCCAGGTTGATGTAAAGGCAAACTTCAATTTCCTATAAGACGATGCGTGTCAGGGTGTTGTTGTTTCCTTGTTGTTTGCATGAAGGAGACATGACTGTGTCTTTGCAGTTTTTCAGGTGATGTGTAGTCAATTGTTCTGACAACTATGGTAGGCGGTGTTTGACCCCCTCCTCCTCCTCCTCCTTCTCCTCTTCCTCCCCCGTCCCCTTCTCCACCCACTCTTTTCTAAAGAAAACTCCATTGTACTTTGATGGCATTGTAGTCCCTGTAGGTGTTTTCATTATTGGTTTTATTTTTTAAGTTGGAAATAGTTCTATGACTCCTATATAGTGATGATTTTTGTAACCTTCTCTAGTAAAACCGATATTTTTTATTATCGTGACACTGTCGTCTCCTGCCTCTTTCTTGAGTTCGGGTCATTGAGGTGATTTAGAATTTTTTTCCACAACTTAGAATGTCAAATCAACTTCTAATGTATTTGAAAGGAATATTTATTACCCTGCAGTAACTGGATAAAAGACCCCCCCTCCAAAATACTTGAAAAAAATCTACACTCTATACATGCCTGTTTTTTTTTAATAAAGATTTCTGCCCTGATTCTTCAGAGAATTCACAAAAAAATGTGGAAAAACAAGACTCACACAATGTTAAAGTGAAAAAAGATTCCTGGATCCACACCAAAAATGTTGTGATTCTCTCTTGACCCATATTTCATCCTCCCACCAAGTTTCATGCCAATCCGTTAGGTAGTTTTTGCGCAATCCTGCTACAACTAAGATAAAGAAAGAAATGCAGATGAAAAAACTTCACTTGGTGGAAGTAAAAATACCCATAAAACCCAAGATGACCTCTGAAAATAGTTTTTTATATTCAAATCCAAAACTCAAAAGATATTCAATTATTAGAGTGTAAGAAGAAGAAAAACAGCAGTTTCTTACATTTCTAATGCTGGAACCATAATTCATGTAACCCATAAAACTAATTTTACCACAACAATAAAGAAATTATAGATTTTCTAATGACCTGTAGTAAACAAAAGCCCTCACGTAGCAGGTATCTGATAAGTGAGCTACTGAGTGCTGCTTTGACAAAATAAACCACATCTCACAAAACCTCAGTAGAAACAGCGTCTGTGACTGTGGAGGTCTGATGAGAAATCAGGATGTGGTTCAATCATTACATTTGTGAAACTACTGAACAACCACAGCTGCACTCACAACCACAGAACCACAGAGTTCATTTAAAGGAAAGCAACTTGATGAAGAGTGAGTGTGCAGAACTTTAAATCCGCATTAAACCTCTGGAATTTGAAGTGGAGATATTATCTTAACCAGTGTGACTATTCCATTTTTGATAAATAGGACGAAGAGGAAATAAAAAAAACCACATCATGCATTTTTGACCTTAGTTCCATTCTTGGCCACATACTGGGAGTCATGTGCCTGAAAGGAATGATACAGACCAAACAGGCCACAGTGTCTCAGTAACTTCAGGTTCAACACTTCACTTTTTACAGAGAGCAGAAGTGTAGTGATTATAATATTTGTTTCCCTGTTTAGGAGAATATCAAACATCATTAAAGCAACAATTGTATTATGAAAACAATCTCTGCTGGTGCACCGTTCACCCAACAACCAAATACAAATTGATCATGTGATTAAAAACAGAAAATCTGTTCTATTAAGATAATTAACACAGATTTAAATGCAAACAGTAACGATAGAATATTTAAAAACTTTTCAGTGCCAAACATAATTTAATTGTCTTGTACTGGTAGTTTGCATAAGAAAATAATTGCAGTTTTTGTCTTTGGCTACTAGCTTTTTGGTGTTATGTGGCAAGTACAGCACATATATAGTGATTATTTCTCAGCTATATCAATATTATTCATTGTTAAGACTGTCATGGCGTGAAAACTGAGGTTTGTTACTAACCACAAATAAATCTACGAAAATCTGCAAAGATATATTAGAGCTTTTATTTCATTTGATGATCTTGATTGCTTTTATAAATTATATTTTCAGTCCCTTGATGGTAAAAAGGAAATGCAGAAAATTGGCACAGAATTTTGTCCGTTCTTATCAATTTGTCTTAAAAAGGCTGAAGTGAGAACATCACAAACTGCTCAGAAGCAGCTGAGCAAACACCAGTTCCTCTTTTTGTCAAACCACAAACCAGAGAAGCATCACATGAGCTGGGTCATTTCTCTCGGCTCAGCAGCAGGTGGAGTTCGGGCGAGTCTTTCTCTGTAAGTCCACCGTGTTGGTGTGGATGAGGTCATCAGCTCTGTCATCCAACGCCAGAATACCACGTATCGCCTCCTCGAAGGCCGACGCCACGTTTGTAGAATCCTTGGCGCTTGTTTCAAAGTACGGGTGTCCGCCATTCTCGCTGCACCACTGCCTCGCGTCTTCCCCTGACACCTGCCGCTCTAGGACATCCAGTTTATTGCCCAGAATCACAAAGGGAAAGTTGTCAGGGTCCTTTACATCAGCGTAATAAGTGAACTCCTTCTTCCAGTTGGCCAGGTTGCAGAAGCTCTGTCGGTCGTCGATGCTGAAGGTGAGCAGGCAGCAGTCGGAGCCGCGGTAGAAAGGTGTTCGGAGGCTGCGGAAGCGCTCCTGACCCGCCGTGTCCCAGATCTGCAGCGTGATGTGGTGCCCGTCCACCTCCAGATCCTTGTTGAGGAACTCCACGCCGATGGTGTGGAAGAGGTGCGAGTCAAACTTGTTGGTGACGTAGCGGTTCATGAGGGATGACTTTCCGACGCCACCGTCACCCAGAAGGATCACCTTCAGGAAAGTTGACTTTGACGTCATGGTCGCGGTCGGACCAGTTTTAGTCTGCGTGAAGGTTTGTGGATGCCAACAACGGAGGAAGGGGTTTCACCTGGGGAGCAGGAAAACTCTGAACACAAAAGAGCAAAACAACGTCAGTTAAGAACATTCAAGCTCAACAAACACGTAATCTAACCGACAGAACTTTGAGTTCCTTGACCGTATGAAACATAAACTGTAAATGAAGACGGACAAATAACTAATGAAATGGACTATTGAACAAATGTCTGCGTGGTAAGAACTACCTGAAATGACAAAAAAGCATCTTTGAGAATATGACGACTACTTTGGTCTGTCTCCCAACCACTAACATGGAGGAAGCAGGGTCTACTAACTACACTGCAGCCAGCCACCAGGTGGCGAGTGAGACGCTTTGGCTGCACTTTTGGAGATTCTTTACGATTTATGGTGTAAAAAGCATCAGTAAGGGGGATATGAAAAGTGTTTACTGTAGTGCCATCTTGTGGAGAAAACCAGAATTAAGCCATTGCAACACCAACAGATTAACCACAGAATGAATCAGAAAATTGAAAATCAATTAAACTGTAACCTAAACCTGTACTAAATATAACTAAATCAATTCAATGGTAATTAACTGACTATATTTAGCTTTTGAACATTTGTTTAAATTAAAAAAGCTGCATGAATACATCACTTCAAGCAATGATTCTGTTGTTTTACAGAATCAATAATGAAAATACATGTATGAGCTATTTAATAAGAAGACCTGATCAACATCAGAATAAAAGAAAGTGCGTCTTCACCACACACTTCCTGTGGGTCAGTAGCACAGACAGCTAACATGTTTCCTCACATGAGAACTGGAGATCAGACTAAAGTCAGTTAATCATATTAAACAGCCACTGCCCCCTAATTACACTACGCAATAAATTAACTTCCTACACAGCGCAACGTGCCATGCATGAAATGATCTGTGGAGAACAGCACATCACATGGACACTGATCACAGGACCCGTGAGTCATCAGCAACAGAAACAAGATTCCTCACCGTTATATCCACACGTGGCTCATTCTGTCAGACAATCTGTGAAGAGACAGAGAGAAAGTATTAAAGTTTGCTCCCACTCACAGGCTCAGCTTCCAAAAAGTGACTAATGAGGATTTATGTGTGAATTTAATCCTGTGACACGAACTGAAACTCGCTGCTATCATTCCTTCCACCTCCGTCCCACAATAAATCTCTGAGAAGTAGGTGGGGAATCTTAGAGAGAGCAGGTTTAAATGAGGAGGAGGAGCTTTAGCACGAGAACAGGATCAGCTCCTCCGCCACAGTTAAGATAAAATGATGGAGCACCCGTCCATCACTTCCTGTCATGCTATCAGTCTCAGATACACTGGGACCAGTCAGAGACAGAAAGTTAAGCAAAAGCTGTTCATGGACGGGACATGGACCAAACTAAAAAGTGCACGTCGAATACAATTTTCTTGAAGATGTTTTCAGTCTTTTGCGGGGGCTCTTATCGCACTGATGTTTGTTCACTTTTCTGATAAATTTGGTTTTATTTAGTTAATTGATGCCATAAAATCCGAGTGAAACGTCATGATTGACAGCTGAGACTCACTCGTGACTGGTTGAGTGTGTGTATCGACGGGACCTGGTTGCCGTGGCTTCATCCCTACATCGCTACTTTACAGATTCTCGCAAAATGATACTGTTTGTAAACTCGTCGTCCATCTTAAACAGTCTACGATAAACAGAAAAAGCTTGAAAATGGCGACTGTTACTCACACATCATAACATATCCAAACAAGTAATATCAAAGAAGGTTTGTTTTGACAATTAACAAGGAAATGAATTAATCAATTAACGGTTTCAATCATTTTTAAAGCACAAATACTACAACATAGTATAAAATATGCTGGTTCTAGCTTTTAAAATATCGGTTGAATCAAACCACCAGTTTAGATTATTAGTATTTGAATTTTAAGCTGTTGAGTAAAAGACAGATGTAAAGAACGTTACACATAAAGTTTCCATATTTGAACCCAGATTTCATCACTTCCTCTCTCAACTATTTGTACAATTTACACAACAGGAGGTTTGGTACAGTCTGCAGCCAATTAGGCCTAAACTGAGCAAACCTGCAGCTTGTTAGAAGACGTTAGGTTTAAGTGAAGAGTTAAACTGTGCTGTGGACTAAAGGGAATATATATAAATCTAGAAAGTAGATACATGTCCACTTTGTCCTGGTAAACACAGACTGTGGTGCTGCCACTTTTTCACTTTAACATTTAAAAGAGAAAATCTAAAAAGCTGTGTTGAAGCAGGGGAGGACACACACACACACACACACACAGTCACACTCTCTGGAGTCATATGCTTCATTCAGCAGAGGAGGAGGAGGCTTCTTACAACTCATCACATGATTACACTCAAACCTAAAATGAAGAATACAGTAACTGTGTTTTTATTTTCTAAATGAAGGGGATGATTGCAGGTGACTCAGATTGAGTGTGAGCCACATTTACAGCCACAGCTACAATAATACAACTACAAGTGAAAGCTGAGTTTTACTGCTGTTTACTTCCTCATAAAGACAGATGGACACTTTGACTAAACACCAGATCCTAATGGCTGTGTTGTTTGTGGCAGAAATCCTTCATTTTCTGAGATCCATTTCAGGACGAGCAGCCAAACCATTTTAACAAGTTAAGTTTGAGGAACGAGCAGGAGGGAACATGATTGCGGAAATACATCACAATAGAAAAATTGTTTGTCTGAAAAGTAGCACGCAATGTCACTCACATGCTCCAGCAGTGGATCTTGTGGGTATCAAACCTTGTGCGTAATGGCATGCGTAAAGACACGACGCGGAAAGGAGCTTGTCCGATAACGGGCACGCCAACAGTTGCACACTAACTACGCATTTCCCCCACTGAGAATGAAAGCTTCAGCTTCTTAAAGAACCAACCTGTGAGCACGGTGGAGCCTCCTCTTCCATGCCGGCCGGGTGCAGCTGTCAGCCGGTGACGCGGAGCTCCGGTGGTGGCCCCCGCTGCTCTGTGGCCCCGCACAGCCACTGGTGACGCTCATATGACCCGGGAGTGTGACGCCTCCTCTCATCATGCGCTCTTCTGGATGTGTCCGCAATGTATTGTACTTTTTTCATGCGTTTAGAAAAAGAAAATAGACGATTTGTCCTTTATTCTGCCGCATGAGAGGTAACGTAGTAAATTTAGTTTAATTTAAATTAGGATCAGTGGGTTAAAGCAGTGGCTCTCAACCTGGGGGGTGTGGCCTTCAAATGAGTCCCTATAAGGGGTCACCAGATGAATTCAGAAAATGTTTATGATTTTATAACAAAGTGAACAAAGAATATTTATAAGCTTAACAAAGTATTTAATCTGCCCGAACACCCAAACATGTCTCCAGTTCCCACACCAAGTGTCCTCGGGCAAGACGCTATAAACCGACATGTGCCAGCAGCAGTATAAGTGAATAATAAAAGAGCTGTGGATGTGCATTTACATTTAGAAATGAATTTGTTAAACACAGTTGTTAATGGTGGGTGACAAAATCTCACGTTTACATATGAATATCCTGGAGAGTGAGAATTCTTAGATTGTGGAACTCAAGCTGTTACATCTTTATAATCATGAAAGGTAAAGAGTCAGAACAAAAGATAGTGAGTCATCACAACTGTAGGTGATTTCCTTCTAAAGTTAAGGAGATTGAGTTGGTAAGTTGTCTTGAAATTTTGAGTTGTCCCAACCTTTTCACTTTTGCAGCCCAGAAGCAACAAGGACAAAAAAATATGTTTGCTTTTAGGGGGGGGGGGGGTACAATTCTTTCACTGCTTTAAAAATAAAACCTAAAATGAAATACTCGGGCCACAACTTGTGACAAATAATGGTTTATATTTAAAACCTCTCACCATGTGTCAAACTGCATACAAATCCCATTTCAAAAAGAACTACCTGAGTCATTAACAGCTCCATCTTCTTACCTACATCTATATTCTGCTTTCTTACTGTGTGAGGTGGAGAAAGGTGGAAATAGCAACACTGCGTTGATCTGACAGACCGCTGTGACCGAAAGGGTGAAATCCTTCGCACAACACTACAACCAAAAGAAAGATAGGGAGGATCTGAGAGGAGACGCAACACAGAGAAATGCCACAACACTGCAGATACCACACACACACACACACACATTCCTACTGTATCTCAGTGACGAGGGGGCTGCAGCGTCCATATCTGAAAACAAGCAACTAACCATGAGAGAGGGGGGATTTTCATTAGGGCACGTATGGTTTGTCATTTAAAACAAAGTGAGATTGTGGGAAAAAGTCAAAAACTTCCTCTTTGATTGAGGAAAGACATTTTCTGAAACTCCTGGGCCTCGACCGCACAGGCCCCTCGCCGTGATGTCACTGTGACGTGTCAGCGAGTCACGGCGCCACGTCGACTGACTCCACACACACAGCGGGACCATGGGTATCCAACCCCCAAGGCCGAGGCTCAGAGGGGCAGATTACTGACTCACATGCTCGCCGTTCTCTAAGGTCACATGTCTCATCCTCACAATCCAGTTTGCTCCAAATGAATAGGATATTGTCGGCGGAAGAATTTACCCAGCATTCATAGCCAGAGTGGCTTACAGATCAGTGCAACTGGATACTTTTTTTATACAGATCAATAAAGGCTTGCATTAGCAAAGGCGAAAGGTTAATGTCAGTGGTTGTTTCTAAGAAAAACATGAAGAAGCCAGGAAATGTAAATAAGAGACACGCTGACGGGCAATTAGAGCGAGTGGAGGATACAGGAAATGATTCAGCGGGAAGAAGAAGAAGAAGAAGATGATGAGCTGTCTTGTGAAAAGTTGTGGTTTCAATCTGCTGCTGCAATAAACAGTGACTTGGCTTTTCTGCCTCCAGCCAAAGATTTTTCCATGATTTCTCAGAGAATAATTTGTAGAGCTTGATGAAACAAACCAGGCATATTTAGTGTTTATGAGTGTTTGCAATTTGTTGCAGATCTAAATAATGTAAATGTGCTTTCATAACCAGACTGTTGGGCTTTGGCGGAGGTACATTCTCCATTCTAGTTGCTGAACCGTAACCACCAACGTTTTCAACTCTTTTCAAATTGTTGTGAAAGTTGATTAAAGCGAAGCAGAAATCGTTCACGTGTCGTGACAACAGGAAAACACATTCAAATGAAAGTGGATTGAGAAAGAGCTGAAACAGTTGAAGGCGACTGAATATTTTGGTGTTTTGAAAAACAAACAATATAAACTCAGACACTTTCATGCACTAGATCCAGAGTTTTATTAAGATCTGCAGCAATTTGCACATAAATATGAATAATTCTACCAACAAGCAACCAGAGATGAAAACGTAACCTCCTTGGCGGATCTAAACATCGTCACTTGGATTTAGAGACAGACCCAGCCACTGTGGTACCACTGCTGCCCGCAGGCACTGCAGGTCACAAAAGTCATCGCATCCTCGTCAGGGCCGGCGCTCCTCACCCACGCAGGCAGGAACAGGGCACCCCTGGACACCTGCGTCACTCTACAGTCCGACCCCCCGCACCTTTTGCAGCGAATCTTCTGCGTCTGCGTCCCCTCTATCCCCTGAGGAAGCTGCCTCTCGCTCACACCCCGAGACGAGTACTCCTCCCTGAGCTGCCGCAGCTCCTCGCTCGCCATCTCCTTCACCGACATGCGGGCGAAGGCCTCTGGCGTCAGGGAGCCGCTCAGGAGGCCCCGGCGTAGGTGGCCATTTTTAGGATTCCTCAGGTTGGCTACCTTGCTCCTCACGCAGGTTTTGTATTTGACCTGACTGGGTTTGTGGAGCTCGTGGACGTGCCGCTCGATGTCTCGGGCCAGCCGTGCGGCCACGTCCTGATCGGGGGGTTCGGGCTGGAGGGCGGCGAGGAGCAGCTGAGCACATTTGGCTCTCACAGATGAGGACACAGAGGAAGTGGGAGTCTGGAGGTCGTCTTTTCCAACTGTGAATGATGCTTCTTGCTCTGCAGCAACATTCACACTCCCTCTGCTATCACCTGCCTGTGCTGAACCACAGGGGGAATCCTCCTCCTGCTTGGACTCCCCTCCATCCCCCTCGCTCTCCCCTCTGCATTTCACTTTCCTGTATTGCCTCTTCCACTTGGACAACAAGCCCCGGACTTTCTTCCTCATGCCGTCGTGGGAACAGGTTTTCAGCAGCCTATAGAGAACCCTGACGATGTCCGTCATCTCCAGCTGCTCGGCTGTGACCTGCGACTTATCGAGGTCACCGAGGAGGGTCCAGATGTTCCCGTAGCTTCTCTCCGAGGTGAGTTTCTCTAGCTGCAGCGCACAGTGGACTATTTCTTTGGCATCCATGGACTCTGGAGAGAATAAATAGTTAAGTTCATGAATGCAAAAGATAAAGATGCTTAACCTTTGAGAAAATGCAGATGCAACAACAATTTACTTCATTATGCAGTTTGCTATTGAAACTGATTCGTTTCTGTTTGTTTACCTGAACTTCCTCATGGTTTTTCTGCTTCTTCACACAAGCAGGAATCCACAAAAACACGTCCGCATGGGAGCAGCCATGTTGAATTGTGTCATGTCTTCAAAACAGGGACATTGCCCGCCTTGGCCTCTAGATGGTGCTGCAGCCTCAGGGAACCAGAGCCGTGGTGTGACCATAAAGGGTTGGATGAGTTTCTAGCTCTGGAACTGAATGTACCTGAAGCTGATAAACAGATAATGCTTCCTTTTAAATTACATTTCTGTTTTTATTGATGTTATTTTGACGTTAATTCTAAGGGATGGAGTGAAAATTCCAAACATGAGCATCAATTAAAGGAGAATCATCTCAAATCTTATTGCTGATCATTCTTGTGCGTTGGAATGTGTTAAATCTGTGGGAATACGTTCCTGTGATTTGTCTAACATGTATTGGAGGATCACAACTCTTATCTTTACAATAAACCTAAATTAATTACTATGCCAAAGAACAGGAGGAGCTGAGGGTGTGACTCATAGTCCAGAGATTTAAGTTCAGTAAAGACAAAAGAAAACATTCTTCATTTCCGTGTGGTCATTTCGGGCTGAACTATGGAGTCGTATGTTTGCCGTCTGCAAGCAGCAGCATGCATTCGTCTTCGTATATAAACAGCCCAGCAGCCACGAGGCATGAAAGTGGATGGTATCTCACAGTAGCCTGAGACAAGCCCCTCAGACTGTTGTGCAATTGTTGTACAGTTGTGTAACTTCAAGAAAAGTTATTGTGCATCAGGACCAATACAGTGGACAGACGAGTTTGCAGGTAGCTGTTATTGTGTCTCTCTGAGTTGATGTAATAATGAAAGAAATCTTAGATTTTATCAAATAATTCCAGCATATTAAGACAACTGATATCTATGAGACGACTGTCAGGTCTACTCTGACGAAAACAATATGTCACCATGGATACAACATCATTGATTAAATTATTTCTACCACTACTAAGTAAAACAAGAAAAGCGTAAAGAATTTAAGGTGGTATGAACAATAAAGCTTATTCAAAACACTCAGTTTTCACAGAGCTCTTTAGTCCCTAGCAGACGTTTTAATAACAGTGAATGTTGTGACACAGCGAATCATCTACCACAGCTTTCTGGATTTTAGACATTCCAGCTTCGTCAAAGGTCAGCACCAACAGGTCGGCTCAAACTATTCACACAGATTTGATTCATTTCCGCAGCAAAAATCATCGATTTTTGGGCTTTAAAACCATCATTTGTCAGATTTTTTAAAACACATCTGCTGGGTTAAAGCAAAACAAAAACCTGCCGCCTTAATAATTTCACGTTAAGAGAAATCACATCTTCATCCAAAACACATAAACATCTGTCAGGATGTTTTGGATGCTTGTGCCAGCAGTCGTGAACACAGACAATGAGACATCCGGTTTGTTATCTGTACAAACGTCCCTTTGGAAACACTCAACTGAAAACCTGGCTGAGTTTATTTCCTGAAATTACACATAAACTGAACCAGAGTCAGTCAGATCCAGTAAAGTACAACCCTGTCAAATGATATATCATCATTCAGTCAGATTCGTCCATGTAATATAGACGAGCAGGGTGTCATTATATAACTGACACTATGACATCAACCTCTTAGACATATATTAAACATTTGCTTTCAGGATTCATGCAGCCGGGGCCAACAGCGGTGGAGGCCCTGAGGTGAAACTGATGCACTGTCTCCTCATGTAATGGCTTCTGGCTCTTAAGTCGTCAAGCAGCAGCTCTTAAAACCCCAAATGGAAATTTAAGCTTCTATAGGAGACGTTTGAAGCAGCGTCTAACTTTTCTTCCTGAACACAAGCCTGAGAGAGTTTTTCTGCCGGCTACGTGCACAGGAAGATGTTTGTTTTTCTGCCACTGAGGTTGAAGTTAAGTGGATTGAACCTGTGAACTTTCAGTCACAAGAGGGTTTCACACCTCAGGCTGTGTGTTGCCTCTGCAGTGTGTGTATATGTGTGTTTGTGTGCGTGCCTAGATGGGTGGGGCCCAGCTGAGCCTTCAGGGAACATATGCAACAGACAAAACAGAAAATAAAAGACCCTCTTCCACCAGTCAGCAGCCGACACACCGTAAGACCCCTGCCATTTGTCTCTGCAGCCACACATGACTGGAATTCCCGAAAACACTCACAAGGCTCCTTGGCTCTTATCAAATAATGGAATGGAATTTTACCAGCACGCCACAGCTGTGGTGCATGCTCGCCAATAGGTGGCGCTCCCTGCACTGCAGCTGAGCTCAATGGAGCTCTGTGAGGAAGGAGTCCTGCTGTATCACATCCTGCTTTTGTTTGTCTCCGCCTCTTGTGCAGACCACGCCATGCTTGATGGCATGTACACATTACCGTTCACACACACACATGCACGCACACAGACACAGACACACACACACACA